GCTGCACGCCGTGGGCCTCCAGGAGCCCTCCACTCCCGGTGTGCGAGTGGCTTCAGAGGGCAGCGGTGAAGCCCTCGGCTCGGCAGCACAGCGTTGCTCTGCCGGCAGCAGCGCGGTCTTGTTGCCTGGGGCTTGTGGGCTCGTGTTCAGTCCTCGCTGAGAGAAGCAGCCCGTTGTTCCTCCAGCTTACCAGTCTGCTTAGAGCTTCTTGCGGCGAGCCTTGTCCCGCTTTTACCTCTCCAAGATCATTCTCTCTCTCTCTCTCTCTCTGGCCCACAACCAGCCAGGATCCCCGTGGTCCTTGCTCCCTCTCCCTGCTCCACTGAGGGTTTTGTCCCGCTCCTCCGCTTTAGGAATAAGTCCTGACCTCTCCCAACGACCTCCCTGCCTCTGCCTCTGGAGCGCCTGCGGCGTCGCTCCCTGCCAAGAGCCGCTCAGCCCTGCTGACACACACAATAACTTGTCTCTGGGCAAGAGGAGAAAAGTCAGGGTCTAAAAAGAGTACTTCCGAGAACTGGAGCTAATTGCTTGTCTGCCTGGCACCCGTCCCTCCCCACGGATCACAGAGCTCTCCCTGGGACTGGGCAGCCGCCCTCAGGCCAGGCATGGGCCATCCTGCACCTGCGGCTGCCTTCCAGCCCGCACCGGGCTTGGCACGGACCGGGTCAGGGCGCGGGGCGAGCTGCCTATTTTTTTTTGCTCCCAGACACACAAACCCTGTGTCAGGGGCTCAGCAGCCCGCAGGTGCTCTGAGGTGGCAAATAGGGGTGGTAGCCCCACTTTGCCTTCCCGTGCCTTGCAGGAGACCTCGTGCTGGTGCACACAGGAGGAGTAGGGTCAGCAGCAGGAGCTGGTGGGCATCGGAGCGCGCTCCTGGCCGACAGTCCTACATCCTCCCTGTCCCTCTCCGCATGGGAGCCACAGCTTCGAGCAATGTGAACCATCGCTGGGGTCTTGAGGAATAGAAAGGAGCCCCTGTCTCAGAAACCAGGGTGGTGGGGCTGGTGCAGCTTCCTTCAGCTGCCTCCCATGCTCCTGCTCCCAGAGCCCGGAGGGCCAGCCCCAGGAAACATCTCCGCAAGGTGGGAATGCAGCCGGGCCGTGCGTTTGGGTTGGCAGCCAGAGCCGCTGACCTGAGTCATCCCACTCGCAACCTGCCTTTCCAAGAAAGCAGCTCCTCTTGGGAGCCTGGGACATGCTCTGCGGTGGATGCGTCGGCCTTGCCTGCATCCAGCCCTGCGCTCCCTCGGGGGCTGTATTTATGCCTTCGTGGGCTCTCTCCTCCTCTTCTCCCCAAGCGGGGCTTGGTGGAGGTGTGTCTTGAGTGGTCAAAGCCGCTGCCCTGCGCAGGGTGGGGATCGTTGGGATGTGGAAGAAGATACGTGCCAAAGCTCCTGACAGACAGAGAAGACGCGGTTGGGAAAGAAACCAAAACCCAGCCTGCGTGCATTCTGCCTGGTGCCAGGGTTTGGGTGCCAGCCCCGTCCCCTGTGGGTGCATCCCCACAGCCAGCCTCCCCTTTGGGCACAGCCAGGGCCTGCAGGGTGGCAATTCAAATGCCCAAAGCCGTTTTACGTGCAGCTTGCCAGGATGCTGGTGGGGAGAGGCATTTTTGCAACTGAGCAGCTCTGTTTAAGCCCAGCCCGTGTTATTTCTTCGTGGTCTGCAGAGATGTCTCCTGGCTGCCCCGTGAAGCTCATAGCTGGTGGCATTTCGGCCCCGTTTCCCTGGGTCTTGCCCTGCCTGGCAGGGCTCCCTTCGCTCCCCAGTGTCTCACACACAAAGCAAGGCCAGCGCCGCGGCTGTCACGCAGCCCTGGAGCAGGGCTGGCCCCGCAGGGCGACGAGACCCGCGACCCAGCGCTTTCTGCCGGTGAATTTACGACCTGCTGGTGTTTGCCTTCCGCGGAGAACGCGAACGGAAAACGCGGCTCGGAAATATTTCCGCAGCTGCCCCAGCCGTGCTGTGAGTGGCCTTGTTCGCAGCGGCCCAGCCCGGAGGCCCGGCAGGCTCTGGAGCCGCTGCTGGCTCCCGCACCGGCTGGCCGATTTAAAAAAAAAAAAAGGCAAGCTGCTGCCTGCTGAAGCAGCACATTCCCGGCTGGGCCACGTGGGCAACACCAGTATTTACTCTCCCTTCAGCCCTTCCCAAGGGTCAGGCTCGAAGCTGCCAGCCTGGCAGCTTGCCTGCAGCTTCCCCACCCCAACCAGCGCCATGCTGGGCGCTTTCCCGTGCCCAGGGGCCCTCTCTGGTGGGGGATTGCCCCTCTCCCCAGCAGCACAGACCCTTGCAAAACTGCTGGGTGCCTGCCCCGTGTTGCTTCCCTTTCCCGAGCTGCTTTGTCTCCCTGCAAGGCCGTGGGTGCGGGAGGCTCCGCCGGGTGCGGAGTTTCAGCTTGCGGCGCCTCGTGGCGAGACCACACCGGGCGAGTTCGGGTCAGATCCGTGACAACAGAGCTGTGTTTCGCAATGGGGAGCAGCTTTTTGGCTCTGCCTCCCCAGAGTGGAGCGTGATGGGTGTCCTCAGCGACCGTGGGCTCCCCAGGGTCTGCCTGGTGCTGTGGACCAGCCCGGAGGAGCCTCCTGCACCGGCTGGGGCTGCGGTAGCGAGATGGCTCTGGGCACAGCTCGCCCTTCGGCAAGCCTCCCGCTGGCAGCTGCCCGGCCGGGCCTGCGTGCTCCTGCCCCGGCATGCGTCACCCCTCCGGCACAGGGGAAGGGGGGTGCCAAGACCTGGGACCTCAAGATCTTTTGGAAGTGGCAGTGAAATGCCACCCGATGCGGGGCCATAGATACCCCAGGAAGGGAGGGACCCCGGTCCCGTGCTGCGGGCGCTCTGTGCCCTGTAAGAGCTTGAACGGAGGCTGTGGGCTCACGGGGAGGGGGAGGCAGAGGCAAAGGGCTGGTTTCCATGTTAAACGAGCAATCAAGGGCAGGAATTTGCTGACTTGGCGTTCTGTCTGAATCGCTGGATTAATCACAGCTCACCACCGTGAGCGAGCTCCCTGGCTGTGCTCCTCCGCCAGCCCTGCGCAGCCCCTCGGCTGGGCAGGGACCGTACCCAGCCTGAGCTCCAGGAGCCCTGGTAACCCCTCTGCTGCCTGCCCTGGGGTGCTGGGGTGCCCAGGGAGATAGGCTCTGCCTCCTAGCCTCTGCAGGGAGCAGTAGGGATCCCTCCACGCACACCCCATCGGGGGCTCGGCGCAAGGCTGGGCTCGATCAGCGCTGGTTTCTGGGCCAGCTCGCAGGTTCCCGCAGCCTCCTCCGTGCGGTGTTGGCGTGGGCTGCAGCCTCGCAGCGGGGGCCACGGCTTTTCTTGCTGTTGGCAGCAGCGTTGGTTGTGGCCTGGCCAGGCTCTGCCGCAGAGCGTCTGCTGGGGTCTGAGCTGGGGCTGACCCCTTCTCGCCCTCCCTCTCCCCTAGGGTCTCCTCTCCCGGATTTGCAGGAGCAGTTCAGCCCTCCTGAGATTGCACCGCCGCTGCTGGTGAAGCTGGTGGAAGCTATTGAGAAGAAAGGTAAGTGGGGATGCTGAGCACTGCGGGGCTGATAGCCCCCCGAAACCCCCCAGTGAGGGCAGAGGGGAAGGCAGCTGTCTTTAAAAGCTGTTGGCGTTGGACTGCAGGGGACGTGCAGGACGCAGCTGCCTGCAGAAGGGGAGGCCCTCCCGCTCCTCCCTGGCTTGAGCTGCTGTTCCCTAGAGATAGGCTTGACCCCGCTGCCCCATCCTGCACAGAGGCCTGGGATGAGGGTGCTGGGTCTGCATGCAGGACACCTACACACGTCCTGGATGGGTGCTGGGGTTTGGGAAGCACTTCCAGCCCGGATCTGTGCTGTCGGGGGAAAAACGGGACCACTGAACCGGGTGTCCTGGGGACCAAGGGGGCTGCAGCAGCAGCAGCATCTGCAGGAGGTTGGCTTGGACACCACCCAGGCCTCGTTAGCTGTTGCCCGGCGGGTGCGCGGCTGCCAGGCTGGCACCGAAACGGTGCCTGTGAACGCGGCTCGCAGCTAACAGCGGTGTCTCTCCGCTTCCGCAGGGTTAGACAGCGAGATGTTGTACAGGACATCTGGCTCCGAACTGAGGCAAGCGCTGAGAACCGGTAAGAACCAGCTCGGCGCGGTGAGGAGGCGAATCGGCTCAGATGGAGGAGATTAGTGGATGTGACAGCGCCAGCAGTAATGCAATCCAGGCTGGGCTCGCCTGTCCCCGGCGGTTCCTGACTCCCGGCACGCTGCCTGTGGGGCTGGGCCATCCCAGTCCCAACATGTCCCCGTCTCACGTGGAAGGGATGGGAGCACGGGGCGGGGGGGGATTCCTGCCGCTGTCCATGGGCTGGAGCAAAGGGACGCTGCTCAGAGACTCGCAGGCCGACCAGTGAACCCCTGTGCTCGTCTCCTGCTGTCTCTTCGGGGTGCCCCGCTCTCGGGGTGCTCTGCCGATGGGCTGGCAGAGGCTTCTCTGGCTCTGTCGCACCACTAATGAGCAGGGGAGGATCTTTGAGCTCAGCTTGGTGGCTGGAGCCTTGGCTCCACTGTGCCGGCAGCTGATGTCTCTGCCGGGGAGCCTTCGAAGCTGTCCGCCTCTTGGCTGGGCTTGGGCCTCATCCAGTACTGTGCTGGTTTGTCCCTTTCCACAGACGTTCTTGCAAACCCCAACTGCATGGTGCTGTCAGCTCTGGCTGCGCTGCTTTTGGAACAGGCTTTATGTGCTGTCCCAACAGCCTGCGCCTTGCGTTCAGGGAACGGCCCGGGCCGAGGGAGGTGTTTTCCCCGTTGGGTTCAGTGTGTGGCTGGTCAGTCTGCGCTTGTCTCTACCAGCAGCAGGGAACAAAACTCTCACCCAAGTCGTGAGTGCCCAGGATTCCTGTGGCAGGGCTCAGAAACGACCTCTGCTCCCTGCTGGGGGAAGGACCTGCCTGGATTCCCAGAGGCAGCTTATTTCTGGGGTGTAAGGCGCACTTCCAGGATCCTCTGTCGTGTGGGCTGCTGCCCGAGGGCTGCCTGAGCTCCCTTTGTGGCGCCAGGCTGCCGTGCCCTGGGATAGCTGCCCGGGTGCTGTGCGCTGGGCTCTGGGATGGGTGCTGGCAGCACCGGAGCTGCTAGCTGGCTGCCTGGTGCTGTGCCCGCCACCCACGGGAACTCTGTGCCCTGGCAGATTGGACCCTGGGTGACCTGGAGCCCTTTGAGGTGCACTCCCTGGGCGAGGCCCTGCGGGGCTATCTGCAGGACCTGCCCTCCCCCGTGGTGCCGGTGTCGGTGCATGGAGACATCCTCCGCGTCCTGCAGGGTAAGGGCCTCCCGTGGCCGCGCTTGGGAACGGGTGGCTGGGCAGGATGGATGCGTTTGGGGGTGTTGAAATAAGTCCTGTCCCTCTGGGGTCTGGTGCGCGGCCCCTGCTGCTGACAGCGCTCCCATGACGCGGCCAGAGCGTGGAGAGCAGTGCCGGCTGTCCCAGCCCTTCCCATCGTGTCTTGTTCCCTCCCCAGAGATCCCCCAGCCGGAGAATTGCCGGAAGCAGCTGCTGCTGGCCCTGGAGTCGCCTGCGGTCCCGCTCCAGAACATGCTTACCCTGCAGTTCCTGCTCCGGCATCTGGGGAAGGTATCGCAGCAGGCCGAGAGCAACAGCCTCCACCCTCGGGCCCTGGGAGAGATCTTCGGCCCCCTTCTCCTCCGGCTGCCTGGCGCCAGGTACGTGAGGATTTCGGGTTCCAGCCCTGTACCGAGAGTCGGCTGCTCTGCCTGCCAGGACGAGGAGTCCAGCCCGTAGCAGCGGGGGTGGCCGCTGCACGTGGGGTTAAACTGCTGGCAGCGCCCAGAGGTGGGACTCAAAGCCGGGGCAGGGCCCTTGCTTCTGGGTCAGCCTGGGATCTGGCAGCTGGGATGAACGGGGTGACCCCGGCTGCCCCTTTGCCTGGGGTCCACGGGAGCGGTGCCGTGTTCTCCCCCACAACTGCTGTTCTTCCTTGTCCGCTCTCCCCCTGCAGCCCAGAGCTCAGCCCTGACTTCTCCGTGCTGTTTTTGGAGATGCTGCTGCAGACGAAGGAATTGGAGCCGGAACAGTTGCCTCCAGGTACTGAGATGTCCCTTCCTCGGGGCCCAAGGCGCTGGTGTTTGTGCTCTGTGGATGGGGAGCCTCTGCCCCCGTGAGCGGGTTGCCAAGGGGCATTTCTGTAGCCCAGCCATGCCTGGAGGCCAGCTCGAGGCGTTCAGCTGCTGCTGTAGATGTGCCTGGAGCAGCTCCTGATAGCCTGGTGGCCAAGGGGGCATCCCAGGATGCTCACTGCAGGGAGGGGGGAGTCGTCGCTCCAAGGCATTGCCTGTGGGGAGCTACAACTTGGGCTCACCCTGCTTCAACCCTCCTTCTCCTACAGCCTTGCCTCCAAAACCGCCGAAGCCAAAGCCCAGTGCAGCCAGCTTGGCCAACGGGAACAGCGTGCCCTTGCAGGACGCCGAGTGGTACTGGGGTGACATTTCCCGGTAAGGAGGTGACGAGCAGCTCACGTCCTGGGTGCCCTGTCCATCGAGTTATTTAGGGCAGCTCTGGTTGCACCTCACAGACCACGACAATCACGTTCCTTGCAGGGAGGAGGTGAACGAGAAGCTACGGGACACGCCGGATGGTACCTTCTTGGTGCGCGACGCATCCAGCAAGATCCAGGGAGAGTACACGCTCACGCTCAGGTAGGGCGCTGGGGTCCCCCGAGAGCCTCCGCTGCTCTGGGGTGGAGTTGTCAGCACGTGTCCCTGTCCCCGAGACGTCGGGCCGGTGTAGGCTGCTGGGATGGTGGTAAGTGCCCTCTCCTCTCCCCTCCCTGCTACAGGAAGGGAGGCAATAACAAGCTGATCAAGATCTTTCACCGGGAAGGGAAGTACGGCTTCTCGGAGCCCCTGACTTTCGGCTCAGTGGTGGAGCTCATCACCCATTACCGGCATGAGTCGCTCGCCCAGTACAACGCCAAGCTGGACACCAGGCTGCTCTACCCCATCTCCAAGTACCAGCAGGTGAGGCCTGTGCTGGAGGGACGCATCTGGCTGGCACAGCCTGAACCAGGGGCGTTTGCTCGTCCATCCCTGACCCTTTGGTAGATGACAGTGTCCCCACCCCTTCCCTCATGCTGGGCCGCTGCTTTGTGGGGTGACAGGCACCCTGCAGGGCTTCTTTTCGTGGGACCGGCTGCCAGGCTGGGGGGCTGAGGTAGGGCAGGAGCAGGTCCCAACCGAGGCTGTGCGTATGACAGGACCAAGTGGTGAAAGAGGACAGCGTGGAAGCCGTCGGGGAGCAGCTAAAGGTCTATCACCAGCAGTACCAGGACAAGAGCTGGGAGTACGACCTGCTGTATGAGGAGTACACACGCACGTCCCAGGTACGTGGGTGCTGCCTCCCCCCCGTGGGCTGCCCTGACGTCTCCCTCTGCTGTGCACAGAGGAGAGCAGAGACTGGGCGCCCGCTGCCCTGTTTGTCTGCGCCTGGGCTGGAGGGGACTCCCCAGAGAATGGGCTTTGAAGAGGGGGGGCAGGGGGGGGG